TTAGAACAAGGGAGATGAAGGATGCCTAACACATTCCCTTCGTCTAACCAACTCACGAACTTAGAATCTCTAAATAATTAGGATTATCTATTATTTCCCCATCCTTAGGATAAAAATTAATGGCAACAACTCTTTATTTTTTTACCGGTTGTGACATATGGACTTGACTATCCGATGATGGCAACCAAATGGAATATATGATCAAGCCTCGTCTCAAGTGAACTCAAGCAAGTGACTACTAAAGAAAGCATCTGACAGAGTCTTGAAGTGCAATATATCCCTACCTTAATTAGTGTGAGTGAATACTTTGTAAAGCATAAGTATGTTCTCCTAAAAGTATGTGGCAAAAGCACACATACACACACACTGAAAACATCTTTTCAAACTGATTTTTCTTAAGAATAAGTTTTTTACAATGTCTTGAATTTATCCCGGATGAATTAAGAGCTGTCAGAATTGTTGCAGGAAAAGTTATAACTTATCTAATCGATTATCATATTGACTTAATCAATTAAATCATTCTAAATTGAGATCCAAATGATTAGGACAACATCATCTTAATGATGTGCAATGTCTAGATATCTATTTTTCTTATTTTGAACATACAAACAATTATATTTTGAATATCTAATCAATTGACATTAGGTACTAATTAATTATAATATATTAAAAAGAATTTATTTCAAAAAAAATTGCCAACCTCTAGCCTATAATTAGACTCCCCTTCCCTCATTTCAAATCATCCATAAATGTATTTTAACACTTCTCACTCTATCCCTATCTCTCTGAACTTTTTCTTTTAGTTTCTCTCACTAATATTTTTAGACAAAATGCTTCTGCGAGAAATTCCTTTTGAGAGTGAGGATAATTGTATTTTTGGAAGGGTAGAATTTCAAAATTCAGCAAATAAATCTTTTATATACACCTTGGTTGAATATTATCCATTTAGGATTATTTGCGGGTTAGAAGCTAAACCCATAAAAAGCTTTGATTTGGGGATTGTGTGATCAAGACCTTATTTAGGTTTGAGATTAGCCTGTGGTAAAATCTCTTTAGGTTCTCGGTTAGCCCGTGATAAATCCAAGATTAGGTTAAAGCTTATCCCATGCTAAAATCTTGATAATGTTAGATATTAGTCCGATATTAAAATATCCTATGTTATTGGTTAGCCCATGTAAAACCAAAGTTTAAGGTTTGTGAGCTCAGTCTGTGATGAAAGCTTACAAAGTTTGTTTAGAAGCTTGAAGACTAATCGCTCCAAGATTCTTGTGGAAATAAGACTACCGTTTCAATCTACCGAGTATAAAGAGGACTAACCACTTTCACCCACCATTCCAGAAGATAAGACTCAACTGCTATATTCCTAGTGTTACTATTTGGTTGAAGTCAATCATTTTCCTTATATAAAGGGGTTCGTGAGTACTTTCTACTAAAATCTCTCAACATTTATTGGATACTCTCAAAATCATTTCTTAGGAGAGGAGTAGGTCCTTTTTTTTTTTCACCGAACCTCTATAATTATTGGTATTCTTCTCTTTCCCTAAACTTTTTAATTTTCCATAATTTATATTCTGCAATTCATTTTCCATTACTTAATATTTAAATATTTTCAAAATGTTTTAAACTATGATTTTAGTTTATAAAGTTTTTCAAAACCAAGTTTTTCTGAACCACACAATCTCCTCTTGTGTGTGAAGTCACATGTCCAAAACGCCTATTACAAATCTAAGTTTAGGGCACTTATGAGGAGGTGTCTTAACCTGAATCTCTTCCAACTTTGGAAAATAAGTCGAACTTTCTTTGTCTTCCTACCGCGAAGATGGTAAGACTTCATCTACCTCATTTCGATCAAGGGAAACTAGACTTATGTTTGACCCGGAGGAGGGGGTAGTCTAAATAACACGCCTGACATCCAGACCAGAGGCGTCCTTACGGGTGTACCCATGGTAAAAACTCCCCCCAGCAGAAGGCGTACTCAGAATTTCGACTAAGGCAACAACAACCTAAATCTCCTTCCTTAATTATCGCATATCATCTTCGTTATTCATCATAAATACGCAATCAAGAAATGAGATATCATAGGAGATTCAAGAAAATAAAACAGGGAAAATAAGGCCCTGGTGCCACTTACCGAAGATTATCTTCCTTTCTTCTTTTAGTTTGGTGTCCATTAGCCAGCGGGTCTGAATGCATATCTTCAACTAATTTCGTAACACCCCGTCATGTGAGAAAACTCCACCAATGTTTCCAATATCCTTATAAAAGCCACCAACTGGTTATTCAATTATAGATCCTTCTGGGACATGTCCCTTTCCTTGTAGAGATACAATCCCACCCTTGTTAGGTAATGACTCTGAGTCCAATACTTACGAAAGACATTCATGAATATTTGTGAAGGACCAAGTTCCACACTTTTTTACTAAGATGAGTAACCACACAAAAGCGATCTTTGAAATGCTTAACTCTATCAAAAAGCCTTGGAATATCAAATACTTTCCCTCAAGGAGAAAAAACTAGAACCATTCATGTTGTTAAGGTTGTTTTGAGTTTTGAAAAAAATGAAAAAAATAATGTCATAGTCATATTACTCCCTTATACTCACACAAATGATGGAAAAATTTAACAAAGGCCCAACAATATGATTACAAAGGGGCGATAAGAAAATGGTTAAATCTATCAACTTCAAAATCATTGTAAGAAAGACGATGACCAATGAGAGAAAATAGACGTTCATGAAAAGGGATTGTGCACCCATCATATTGACTATGAACCCTCTTGTATTCATATGGGGGAAACACTCTTTAGTCAATTATAGGACCCACGTTATCCAAAACTTAGTTAAAGACATCTTCACAAACAAAAGAGGAAACAATACCCAACATCTCTGGATCCACACACTCGCCTGAAACATCCTTACAAACCTTTTTTATCGACTTTAATATGATCACCATGATTAAAATATGTTGTGAAAGTAAATGAATACAAGTATAACGTAGAAAGCCAGCAATCTCGAACACTTACTATCTTAAAAACCCTAGAAAAGGGGGTACCTTGAAAACTAATTGCAATGAACCCGTCTTAAATCTGATTTGTAGTGATGTTTCCAGTTCCTGTGAGGGTTTTTCGGCTGGTATAATGGTTTGTGGAGGGAGTTTATCAGATGCAAATATGGACTTGTGCAATTTTAGATTTAACAAACAAGTGGAATCGAACATAGGAGGGAAACTCTGGTCTGCCATTTCTAAACTAGGGGTTACAACACAGGGAGCAGAAGGGGATATTAAGTGTAAACTAGATGAATTGGAAAGTACTGATAGGGAAAGAAAGCAGGGAGATAAGGCGTTAATCAAAGGGGTGCCATGATTATTGGTTCAATAAATATCAGGGGATGTGGTAATGCTTTAAAGATAAAGAGGATAAACCATATTATAAAAAGCGGTATTGCATATATCTTTTTGTTACAGGAAACCAAGTTGGAGGTTCTAGACAATTTTTAGCAGGTAGCTTTTGGGACAAGGATAACATAGGTTGGTCCTTTTCCAAGTCCAGGGGAGCGTCTAGAAGTTTCATTATTTTATGGAAGGAGGATTCTTGCAATGTTATCAATAGTTTTATCAGCGAAGGGTTTATTGGGATCAAACTGTGTTGGAAGGACAAATTTTATTACATTCTTAATGTTTACTCTCTATGTGCTCTGCATTTGAAGAGGAAATTGTGGTGGGATATTATGTTGCTTCAAGAGAAGTTTAGAGATGGTGAATGGATTATGGGCGGAGACTTTAATTCTGTCAAGAACGAAAGGAAGAGGAAAGGTAGAAGTGTAGCCAACTGTTTCGAAATGAGGCATTTTTCTTTATTTATATCTGATAATAACTTGATCGATATTCCCTGCAAAGGAAACTATTATAGTTGGTATATCAGCGATGACAAATCTATGAGCAGGCTGAATCACTTTTTGGTGAATGACTCTATTATCAGTAGGTGGGGCATCGCCTGCCAATTGATTGGGAATAGATATATCTCTGATCATTGTCCTATTTAGATTGTGATTTATAAGGAGGATTGGGGGCCCAAACCGTTCATGGTTAATAACAATTGGTTTGATAACAAGGACTTTATTCCCTTTGTGGCGAAGGAATGAGGGAATTTTAAAGTTGAGGGCAGAGGAGACTTTGTGTTGAAAGAAAAGTTAAGATTACTTAAATTCAGCTACATAAAGTGGAATGTTGATGTTTTTGGTAAAATAGATTAAGAGATTAAAGATGGAATATCGACGTTGAATAAGGTGGATGCTTTGTTGGTTTTGTATCAGGAGGATGAGATGGATGGAGTTGTTTCCATGATGAGCGAGGCGACTAGTAAGATGTGGACTCGGACGAGGATCAAAGAAAATATGATTCTTCAAAAATCTAGGTTGAAATGGGATAGTGAAGGTGATGTTATCAATAAGCATTTTCACTGTATGTTGAAATCAGGGAGAAGATGGAATTTGATTAGTCATATTGAAACAAACAAAGGGTTGGTGGAGTATGGGAGAGATGTCAAAGAGGCGGTTTGGAAGCATTTTTAACAGAAATTCTAGGAAATTGATCATGAGCGTCCTCTGCTTGATGGTATTGCCTTTAAGTCTCTTTCTCCCTTTGACATGGATTTTTTGGAGGAGACTTTTTTGGAGGTGGAAATCAAAGAGGCCTTTTGGGCTTGTGGGGGTTCTAAAAGTCTCAGGCCGGACGGTTACAATTTTAATTTCATTCGTAAGTGCGGGCCGATTTTTAAAGAGGATATCCTTCAGATTTTCTTTGAATTCCACACTGCAGGTCGGTTATCCAAGTCAATTTCCCCTTCTTTTCTTTCCTTGATTCCTAAGAGATCTAATCCCTGAAACATAGATGGCTACAGACTGATATGCTTGGTAGTTTGTCTTTATAAAGCCCTTTTGAAGCTCTTGGCCTCTAGATTGAAAAGGATTTTGAACTTGCTTATTTCTAGTAATCAAAGCGATGTTGTCCCAGGTAGGTTTCTCTTAGACGGAGTTGTGGCTGCCAATGAAGTGGTGGATTATGCGAAGAAGAGTAAAAAAGGTTGTTTACTTTTTAAAGTTGACTTTGAAAAGGCGTACGATAAGGTGAGTTGGATTTTTCTTAGATATATGATGAGAAGAATGGGTTTTGGTGATATTTAGGTGAAATGGATGGAAGCTACCATTTTTTCTAGTTGGATGTTGGTTCTTGTTAATGGGAGTCCTTCTAAGGAGTTCAAGGTTGGTAGGGGGCTTAGACAAAGCGACCCTCTATCGCCGTTCTTGTTTGCTATCATAGCGGAAGGTCTTACTAGTTTATTGAAGAAGTGTGTTCAGATGGGGGAGTTTTCTTGTTTTCTGTAGAAGGTAAAAGTATGGTTGATGTGCTTCAGTTTGCGGATGATACATTGCTAGTGGGAAAAAGTGATTGGAAGCATCTATGGTCTCTTAAGGCGGTATTACGTGGATTCGAAATGGTGTCGAGTTTAGGGGTAAACTTTCACAAGAGTAGCCTTATCGGTATAAATTTGAGTTTGCATTTTCTTTTGGCGACAACAAATTTTCTTTTTTGTAGGTTGAGAATGATCACTTCTCTTTTCTGGGAATTCCCATTAGTTCTAATCATATGAGGGTGTCGTGGTGGAACCCTATGATCTCTAAGATGAAGAAGCGTCTAGCGGAATAGAAGCAACGTGCCTCAGTTCAATTGAAACAATAAGAATGAAATAAATGCAATTAGTTTGATTCTTGCAATGACATGTTAAGTTGGTACCACAAAGTAAAATTAGTTGAAAAAATAAATTTAAGACATGAAAAACTCTAAAATCAATGACGTGAAAGAATAAAAAACAAAGGCTGGAATAGAAAATTTAAAATATATCATTTTCTTATATTATACTCTATATCCTATATTATGACATAAATTTATTTTTTAAATTTATTGAATAATTAATCTATTTGATTTATATGTAGATCAAATATATTAATTATTCAATAAATATAAAAAGTGAATTTATCTAGTAATATGAAAACGGAAAAAATAGATATTTGTTAGAAATATATATTTAAATTAAATATTTTACATATTGAATTTAATGATAAATCTTATTTATTTAAAAAATATTTTGATAACGTAAGTAGTCTCTTATTATAGATGTTATGAAACTTAAACTTAAACTTAAAGTAGAATAAATAATCTCTCATATTTCATAATTCTTATATCTATAATCCTCTATAATAATAGATAGAGGTTTCTATATAATAAATCAATTTTTATAACAAACATAATTCTTGTATCTATAATCTTCTAGAACAATAAATTAATAGAGTCTATTTTTTGTTGAATAGATTCTTTGGTTTTCCCATTCTTATCCATTAAGTTGTGTTGTTTTTTATGTGCAATTTAGGTTTTTCATTTTCAAGATTAATCTTTAACAATTTCAATTTCAATTTCAAATTAGGAAAACGGTAACAAACTCGTTACGGTCCTTCATTCTTGCTTCCCCAGTTCTCCAACTATTTCGCGCCAAACAGGTTTCTTCAAACGAATTCCATTGAAATTGAAATTAATTACTTCAATTATTATGATTATGATTTCGTTTTCCTCTGTTAATTGCATTTATTGTTGGAAAAAGTGCTTATTTTGATAGTTTTTTTGTTTTGTTTTGGGTTTTTAATTATGATTCAATGTAGTTTTTGGGTTTGTTAAACCTTTATTAGGTATCATGCTTTGAATTTAGTTTTTGGGTTATTCTAAAGTTTGAATTTTTCATTGAAATTGAGAAATGAAATGAGTGTGTATTGTTTTTGACAGTTCGAAGAAGCTGAAAATGACAATTGGGAATCTTGTTTCTGAGAATAAGAAAACAAGGAAGAAGAGGGAAATTGTTGATGAGAATGAGCCTTTGATACCTAAGTCTCAAGAAACGAATTCCGAGTTTCATGAATTTAATGGAGCTTCGTTTTCTGGGGCTGTTTTCAATTTGGCAACCACAACTATTGGTGCTGGAATCATGGGGTTGCCTGCTTGTGTTAAGAAATTGGGAATGGTGCCGGGTCTTATTGCCATAATCCTGACAGCATTGTTGACGGAGAAGTCGCTTGAGTTCATGATCAGGTTTTCAAGGGCGGGGAATCTTTCTGCCTATGGAAGTCTTATGGGGGATTCTTTTGGGAGATTTGGAAAAGCTTTGTTGGAGATATGTGTTGTGATCCATAACACTGGTTCTTTGATTGTCTACATGATTATTATCGGTGAAGACCTTATTCTTAAAAGTCTAGTAGTTAAAAATTTACTTTCAGTGTTATCACTAATTTGGTTTTAGTGTGTGTTCGGACTTATGTAGAACCGGTGCTTTAGATTGAAGGTTTTTTTGGTCTCCGACATGTCTCAGCTGACACTGGCATGACACACCATCACATTATATTGAATTACTTTCACATTTCAAATTATTACCAGTGTCGTGTCAAGTTTCTGTGTCAGTGCTTCAAGGGTTTGGATGGGTGTGAAATCACTATGACATTGTGATTTTGTTAAAGTTACAAAGTATAATTTTTTCCAAAATTGTGGTGGTCTACCGTGATTTCATTAAACCCAACATTAATGGAAACATGTACATAGTTGATTGCCCATCAATCTGTTTAGAAAAGAACTGAAGATTGTATAATTCAGTTTTGTTTTGTTCATACGTGTAGGTGATGTGATTTCTGGAACAACTTCAAGTGGAATTCACCACGCTGGTATCCTTGAAGGATGGTTTGGTGTCCATTGGTGGACTGGGCGTACATTTGTTATTGTTTTTACAACACTTTTTGTGTTTGCACCTTTGGTTAGTCTTAAGCGAATTGGTGAGTGATTCTACTTTTCTTATATTACTCGATGTGAAAATCAGAAACATATCATTAGTTGTATCAATTATTAAATTACAAATTACCGAAAATTACTACCCATAAATAATCCCTCAAGTACAAATTGGGCTATCTATTCAATCATGCTATGTTACTAAGTTGTTTTGGCTTCCTTGAGTTAGAACAATGAAAATTGTATTTGTATTTATATTAGGATTTGAATACTTATTGTTTATGTTTTTGTTCCTTGGTTTTAGATGTTTTGTAGTACACCCGTACTCTCCCCCTTTCAAAATTTGTGTACAAGTTTTTTGGCTTACCTGCATCTTCTGTGGTTGTTGCAGATTCATTGAGATACACATCTGCATTGTCAATTGGGTTAGCTGTTGTTTTCCTTATCGTCGCTGTGGGGATCTCAATTATCAAGATTATTAGTGGTGGCATTGGAATGCCCAGACTCTTCCCGGTCATTACTGACGCAGCTTCAGTTTTTGATCTATTCACTGTTGTTCCTGTGCTGGTGACCGCTTACATCTGTCACTACAATGGTATGCAAAAATTTCAGACCTTTGTTTAGAACTCATTTATCCTTTTTTCGCTTAAATTTCTAAAATCATTAGGGTATACATAATGCATGCTAGGCTTGGCTTGGCTGCTTGAGTTTGCATATAAATTTTAAGCTTATTCACAAGTGATAATTAATAAACACTGGCCACTACTGCAAAAGTTTAAGTTATGTGGGAGCATTACATCATTGCAGTTGTCTATTTAGATTTACCTGTTCACTTCATAGATGTATAATTTGGTGGTTGTATTGTGTGCACTCTTGATTTGCAGTTCACAGCATAGATAATGAACTGGAAGATTCCTCATGGATGCAGGGGGTTGTGCGTACTTCCCTTACTCTATGCTCTTCAGTGTACTTACTGACAAGCTTCTTTGCATTCCTTCTATTTGGTGACGAAACTCTCGATGACGTGCTTGCCAATTTTGATACTAATCTTGGAATTCCTCTCGGTTCGGTGCTCAATGACACTGTTCGTTTTAGCTATGCTGCACATCTTGTGCTTGTATTTCCTGTAGTTTTCTATGGATTAAGGGTCAACGTAGATGGTCTGATATTTACCTCATCGAAAAGGCCTTTGGTTATTGATAACTTCAGATTTGCATCAATTACTATTTCCCTCGTTGGCATTATCTTCATGGGAGCAAACTTCATACCTAGCATTTGGGATATTTTCCAGTTCACTGGAGCAACTGCTGCTGTTTGTCTAGGATTCATATTTCCAGCTGCAGTCACTCTGAGGTGAGTTTGATCACCAATTTTATTTAGTTCTGTAATGACTTTAAAGCCTAACCAAGAACAAATTCCCACTTTTGATACATTTTTCACACACTTGTTTATTTTTAAATTTTCATTTTTAATTTAACTACATAAAATTTTAAAATTATTTCCTGAGAATTTCATTTACTTACCAAACATTTGTGTCGAATGTATCTGAGTGTAATATTCTTGATATCATTCCTGGGAATATGATTCTATAGCTTGAAACAAGCCCCTACTAAAAGTGTTACAGAACAGCCTGAAGTAATGATTTTAGAATTCTAAGATACGTATCATTCCCTTAAGTAGGTTTATAGAAGGATTTCCGTTCATGTTTTAGCTTATAAATAATCAACTCAACAATTATCATTAAGCAGTTTCTTCTTTTCTTACAGGGATCGACACAACATAGCAACTAAAACAGACAAAATACTATCTGTTTTTATGCTAGTCCTGGCAGTCTTGTCAAATGCTATTGCTATATACAGTGATGCCCATGCCTTGATCAACAAAAATAAAAATGTGAGTGATTTCTTGATTTGATAGCTCACAGTAGGTATTTCCGTTCTTTCAGATGAAAGAAACTTAATTTGCGATATAAAATTAATTTTTTTGATAGGTCTGATGGGTTGATTATTATATAAACAAAACATGTGTGCAAATATTCTTCAAAAGTGTGTGAAGGTCTGCAACTTGTTCGACCTTGTTTATATAAGAGAACTGTCGACATGTCTATACAGTGTCCAACAATGTATGTTGTTAAAATATCATTTCTCTTCTATTATGCTCTTTGCTGATGTTAATAGTTTGTTGTTGTAAATTTTCCTAGAAATTGAACATTTGGTGCAATTCGTTGTATTGCGCGGTTCTTGTGAAATCATAGATTTTTGGATTAAGTGTTTCATTGGATATATTAGCAAGTAGCATCTTACAAACTTATTCATATAAGCTATTTCATTGAACACATGTAAATGTTGTTTTGACGTGCTATAGTCGGGAACATTAGTTAGGTTGAGATTTGTCAAAATTTCTCAATGAGGTCGGAGTTGAGTGTATTGACTATTGTGAAAGCTCTATTTACTGGCAAGGTCAGGCACAATTTCTCAAGATGATGCTTTTGTGAAGGGTGCGGTATTAGATGTGTTCGATGCATAGTTTATTAAAGGATAATTTAGTATTTTAGTATGTTGCTTACGTGACTATAGTTTTTTGTGTATAAATAGACTAGTAGTAGTTGTCTTTTAAATCAATTTTTTGCACTTTTGTAGTCGTCATTACAGAGTAATAAATATATTCTCTCATTTTTTCTGTCTTCATCATCTTGTGCACTAACAATTGGTATCTAGAGCTTCGATTCGGATCCACGGGGAAACACGAGAAACACGAGTGAAACGGTGAAGCGTTGTGTGATTGATTTTGGTTCTTGAATTCGTGTTTGAATCTTGAACAAAATCGGAACAGAATCATATTTTCTGATTCTACAAGATTGGCAAACACTGTGCTTAGTGAGATCTGAGAGTTTCGTACAAGGTTAAAGATGAACGAAAATGGTAATTTGAACACCAAACTTTCAATTTTCAATGATAAGAACTGGAATAGATGGATGATTCAGATGCGCGTGTTATTTGATGCTCAAGATGTTCTTGAGCTTGTTACTGAAGGCTACGTTCCGGTTGCAGATGCTATGGAAGAATAGAGAACCGCGCAGAGAGACAAAAGGAAGAAAGATCAGAAGGCGTTGTTCTACATTCATCAGTGTGTGGATGCGAACGTGTTTGAGAAAATCGCTGATTCGACGACGACGAAGGCTGCGTGGGACACACTGGTTAGGTGTTACGGTGGTGACACATTAGTGAAGAAGGTGAAGCTTAAGTCTCTATGAAAGCAATATGAGAATCTCAACATGAAAGACAACGAGAAGGTATCTGAGTACATCTCCAAAGTGATTCTGATCACTAATGAGATAAAAGTTTGTGGAGAAACTCTTTCTGAACAAGTAATTATTGAGAAGATATTGAGGTCTCTTACCCCTCAATTTGATTACATTATTGTAGCAATTGAGCATGTAGCAATTGAACATTCTAAAGATCTGGACACCATGAGAATAGAAGAGTTGCAAAACAGTCTAGAGGCGCAAGAGTTGCGTCTGATTGAAAGAACTTCTAAGAGGGAAGTTGAGCAGGCTCTAAAAGCTTCTTTTGTCAAGAAGGACCAGGAGCATTCTTTGTTAGAAACTAAGAAGAGATATGGTGGTAGATTTCAGAAGTCAGAAACCTCTACTTCTGATGAGAAGAAACATCATAAGGGAAAGGAGAAGTACGACAAGAAGAAGGTTCAATGTTACTGATTGCAAGCAGTTTGACCATTTTTCTAAAGATTGTTGGTCAAACAAGGGAAGGAAATCAGAAGAAACAAATATAGTCAGAGGAGACTCTGATGATGAACCTGTGCTATTGATAGCTTTTGAGTCTGATGGAAGATGTTTTGCAGACTGGTGGTATATAGACACTGGCTGTTCAAATCACTTGATTGGAAACAAACAATGATTGATAGATTTTGACTCCAGAAGGAGGATAAATATCAAATGTGCTGATGATAAGTACCTTAATGCAGAAGGTATGGGAAATGTCAAAGTTAAAGTGAAGAATGAGAAGACTGTTCTAGTCAAGGATGTTTGATATGTTTCTGAAATTAAGAGCAATCTGATGAGTGTGGGTCAGCTCATTGAGAAAGGTTTCTCAGTGATTATGAAGAGTAATCTCTTGAAGTTGTACGATTCCAATCAGAAGTTGATTATGCAATCTGAGCAGGGAAGCAACAAAACATTCAAGGTGAATGCAGAAATGGCTGAAACAGAGTGTCTTAGTGCAGAAGGCGCTGAAGGTAATAGCACGCTGTGGCACAAGAGGTTGGGGCATCTGAACTACAGAAGTTTGGGGTATCTGAGTTCTAAGAAGCTCGTGTGTGATATTCCGAAGATTGTGAAGCCTGATAAGTCATGTGAGGTATGCATGAAAGACAAGTAACCCAGATTGCCATTTGTCTCAGAAGTAGCCCCAAGAGCAAAACATGCTTTAGGAGTAGTGCATTTTGACGTGTGTGGATCATTTTCAGTACCTTCACTTGGAGGAAATAAGTTTTTTTTGTCTTTTGTGGATGAGTTTACAAGAATGGCGCGGACAACACTTATCAAGTTTAAGCATGAGGTGTTTACCGAATTCCAGAAGTTCAAGGTGAAGGCTGAGAAATAAAGTGATCAGAAGTTGAAAATTCTCAGAACGAATGGTGGAGGTGAGTATAACTCTACATAATTCCAGAAGTTTTGTGATGAGAATGAAATTGAGCATGAGGTTACTGCTCCTTATACTCCTCAACACAATGGTCTTGCTGAAAGAATAAATCGTACTTTGCTTGATATGACGAGAAATATGTTGAAAGAGAAGAAGCTACCTCATACTTTGTGGGGAGAAGTTACTGCCATCGCAGCATATGTGCTCAACAGGTGTCCAACGAAGAAGTTAAAAGAAATTGTTTCTTTAGAGAAGTGGATTGGAGACAAACAAAGTGTTAGCCATCTGAAGGTGTTTGGTTATGTATGTTACAAACATGTTTCAGAAGCTAGAAGACAAAACTGGATGATAAAAGCAAAGTGATGTTACTGGTGGGTCCGTCCAAGCTTTATTGTCCAGAAACTAATAAAGTCAAAGTCAGCAGAGACGTCATTGTAAAAGAGTCAGAAGCATGGGATTGAAGTAAGTCTCAATCCATTTCTGGTGTAGTACCAACACCAGAGATAACTTTTGAAGATACTTCAAAAGGTTCTGAAGATGAGTCAGAACTTTGAAGAAGAGTCAGAAGATGATTCTGGAGACTCTGAATATGAATCAGATGGTAAATCTGATTTTGATCTAGATTTTGACGATGGTCTAGAATCTGGTGGTGATCATGTTTCTGAAAGAGAAAACTCTGAAGATGTTGGTCTGGAGGACAAGCTTCTGGAGGTAATCATGTTTCTGAAGGTGGTACTTCTGAAGGTAGTGGTTCTGGACTAAGTCCAGAAGCTAACGTTGTTTCAGGTTCTGTAGAAGATTCAGAGGCCACAAAGAATCAAACAAATACCAAGAAGGTTTGTAGAGTTTGACATGTTGCAAGACACTGAAGTAGATTTCGAAGGAGACGTGATTCAGTGTGCTATGTTAGTAGATTCTGAACCAGTGGATATTGAAGAAGCTCTTAGGAAGAAAGTATGGCTGAATGCCATGAAAGAAGAACTTGAGGCTATAGAAAGAAACAAGATTTGAGAGTTCACTAAGCTTCCAAACGAGAAGAAAGCCATCAACGTCAGATTGGTTTTCAAGATAAAATTTAAGTCAGATGGGTTAATTGGCAAGCACAAAGTCAGGCTAGTGGTTAGAGGTTTTCTTCAGAAACCTAGGCTAGATTACTTTGAGGTGTTTGCACCTGTAACCAGACATGAAACAATTAGACTGGTGATTGTTATAGTTGCGAATAAAAATTGGCCTTTGATGCATCTGGATGTGAAATTGAACGGTCTGTTACAAGAAGAGGTATACGTGTCAGAACCTCTTGGATATATGAAAAAAAATCAGGAAGGGATGATGTACAAGTTACATAAAGCTCTGTATGGAAAAGAATCAGGAAAGAATAGTGTACAAGTTACATAAAGTTCTGTATGGAAAAGAATCAGGAAGGGATAGTGTCCAAGTTACATAAAGCTCTGTTGTAAGTGTTCTTTGATGATCAACATTGCTAATGGTTTGAGTCGTTGATTTCTTCTACACTAGTATCAAATACTGTGACTGTTATAGAACACATACTATTTTTTGTAAACTTCTGCACTAGTCTTAACCTGTCACTTTTTATTCTAGTTAAAATCTTAGGGGCTTTTTGCCACCACCAGTTTGTTGACATCTGTCATAATCTTTGCCTGCTGATTTTCCAGATGAGTAGCTTTCTTTAGGATTAATATAAATGTTCTCTTTAACCATTAATTTGGCAATTTCTTCAATTATAGCTTGAGGGATTAGACTCTATTTACTAATGCTTACCTTTCTTTGGATTAAATGCCTTCTACCTCTATAATAATAATGATCTTCTACTTGCAAGCACTACACTCAACCACTGCATGCATTAATTATTTTAATTTGTACACTACACTCAACCACTGCATTAATTATTTTAATTTGTAGAGTACTCGCTTTGGATGCTACTTTAATATATTTATTATAATAATTTATTTTTATTTTATTAGTTACTTAGTAAAAACATATATATATTTGGTACTTATTTCTTTTTAGTCTTGTTATTTTTTTAGTAAAGTAAGTAGAACAAATAATTGCAGCTTTATTCCCTGCTTTGATATTACTCCTTTGCAAAGTCCACCTAGACTGAATTCTATTAGCAAGGATAAACAACAATACAGTCTCAACGTGTTTTGCTGGGCTATTTTGCTACTTTTCGTCCTCATCATACAATATAGAAGCAGGGACATTGCCAAGTATCACTGCTAGCGTGAGTTTTTATGGCATATTGGATTGACAATAACCATTGTTATCAACTCCATCGAATGTTATATATATATTCAAATGGAACAACCATGGGGCC